GAGGTTGCCCATCCACCCTAACAATTGCTCCAGCTTTTTATCGGTCTTCGTTCTGTAATCCTCTAGTCTCTTGTCAGAAGTTACTGAGTTGCCCGGTTCAGTGTCTGAGGGAGGCGTGGAAACTACCAGCAGTGGTCTGGAAGAGATGGCAGGAAGGCATTAGGGACCGCTGAGGGCAGTAGCTGTGAGGTGCTGCCCAGGTTGTAAGTAGGTGCTCAGTGGGCTGTGGGCACTCGGGAGGGTGCTGATAAGGCAGCACTTTTGGAAGTCTCGGATTATGGAAGAAGGAGAAACGTGCTGCAGACTCATTTCGATAAGAGAATTAAACTCTACGGGCAAGAAATGTACTTTAAAATTGGTTCTCTTCGGCTTGAGAGAGAGAAAGAAAATTGATATATATGTGTCTAAGGTTTGTGAAGTTTTCAACCAAATAAGCATTTTAAGTGGAAATGACTTTTTGATACTAATATTTCCTTCAGATTTTCATTCAAAGTTTAAACATTAGAGGTCCTGTTTAATCTGAGACAATAATGGTTGGGAGGAGAACATTTAAAACGAGTAAATATATGGCGTGGGTTTATTTGTTTTTCTAATGACATTTAATCAAAATAACGAAGACTTTTTTTGTTAAAAAAATGGGAAGATGGTTATTATTAGGAAGAGAGATATTACTCGCCAATCTGATAGTTATTTATATTGCATCTCCCTTAAGATCCATAGGAGGTGAGACTCGTTTGGTTCATGTGTCAATGTCAGGATGCAGCCAGGCCTCACCTATATCTTTTTTCTAGTCCCCATGCCCAGACTCCAAGACCTCAGAATAGCAGGTGGATGGATCAGGCATTTAATAGGTGTTTGAATCATTGCATCTTATGTTTTATAACATTTCTTAAAGTACTTAATTTCTCAGAAGTGCTGCTCCATGTATGTTATTGCTGATGATAAGTTTTGTGTGTGTGTGTGTGTGTGTGTGTGTGTGTGTGTGTGTCCGTGTCCGTGTCCCCTGGTGCACATGTGAACTTGATAAAATTGTGAACCTAAAATATCTCCCTGACAGATTTTACTATTAATTGCTTCTACAATTGAGGTATGGCTAATAAGAAAAACGTTAGTATTAAAATGTATGCTACATAATTCCTTTGTTTATTGTGGTTCCCTATAGGCCTTAAAAGTAGAGCCTTTCTTAAGAGGAATTTTACATTGAATGCCAGGGCATAGGGTGTATGTGGGTGTGTATTTCTGTGATAAATCCAAACATAGCCTTCTGGACCTTACAGTTCTTTAAATTCTAAAAGCTTAGAGATTGGCTAATAAACTCTTTAGTGGGGTTCTGTCTCCTTTGGAAGGGTATCTATCAGAAAAAGAAAAAAAAATGTGTGTGTGTGTGTGTGTGTGTGTGTGTATGTACGTACATATACATATATATACACACACATATATATATACATATATATATATATATCAGAAATCTCCAGAATCACCAGAACTTAAGCTTCACCTCTCTGATCCAGTAGTTTAGACCAGAATAGGGATGGGCAGCCAGTCACCTCGTTGCCCCTTAAATTGTAACTAAAGTAGTTGTTGATGATATTTTTATGTCTCTCCAGCATTCGTTTCTTTTTTCTGGACTATCTACATTTCCCTTTATTTCCTTCTGCCTTTAAAAAGTGTTTACTTTGAGTAAATAAGTGAGCAGCTACTAAATGGGATAGTTGACGAGGCAGTTGGGTTGCCCTGTGGATAGTCAGCGGATTGTGTGTTAGGTATTGAGTAGCCTGAGAATGTGTAATTCTTCGATTTTCTTTTAAGGTACTCTTTTAAAAATACTCAGCTGGTTCTTTTGTGCTCCTAGAGCCTGCATACATAAAAGTCAGCAATACCTCGCGGTCTTGGGGAATGCAGGATGCTCATCAACTCTGTCATTACTTTGTGCTTAACCTGTTTCATTTTAATTTAGTAACATTTTTCAGATGCCAGGTCCTGTGCTAGGGGCGAAGTATCCAGGGAGAAAAGATTCATCCCCCTCCTTAAAGGAGTGGGCTCCCAGATTCCTGTCAGCTGGTCCCAACCCATGGACCCATTTGTCTTTATTTATTCTTTCCTCAGGCTTCCACCTCAGCATTTCCTTTTTCCTCCAAGGATTTAAAGATGGCTCGTGCTCATTTTTCACATTTGATTTTTTTTTATATTCTCATGCCCATTGAGTTCCCCTTTTAAAATAATTGAACTAACGTCTCTGTTCATTTTTATTATCATGTGTGAATCTATAACCTTCTGAAGTAACTAACTCATGCTTGGAGACTCTTCCATCCATCACCTCCTCAGGGACCCTCATTGCTCTTATTCCAGCAGTTCCTTGCTTAAAACGAAGTTCGTGGTGGTGGTGGTGGTGGTGGTGGTGATACCACCATATAATTCATAGTCCATGTGCTTTCCTTGGAATAAGACATACTTTCCTTCCCTACCACTATGGTAGGGAAATCATATAAAAAATTGAGTTGAATTGGAAACTAGGCCCAAAGTATCTACTGCAAATAATTAATCCAAAAGAAAAAAAGCCAAATTATACAGCAGCCATTCTCAGACTCCTGTCTACTCGCACACAGGAGAGAATGGGAAAGGAGCATCTAATTGGCCTAACTTGAGTTATATTATTACCACACCTTGATAGAAGGAGGGGATTGACATCTAGGTGAAAGATGATTGGCATACATCCATCTCATTGTATCTAAGTGGGCATATATATGTTCAGTAGTGATTATATATACTCTTAGAACGTACGTCCCTTGAAGGAAAGGTTCATAGTGTAGATCTATGCTATTATACCCCGCACACTGAATTTCTGATAAATGCAAAGCATTGAAGGAGATTGAGCTCAAAATACAAATCTTTAGTTTCTGTATTTCCATTTACTTTGTTCATAAGGACCATGTACATTGATAGCATGTCATCGTCGTCTTGCTATGAATTAATGGCACACTGATTCAGCAACAACTTGCAGGAATTTGTAAAGGGAAGTCACTGAGGCCCTGTCTTTAGCTTTCTGTTTTGGAGAGTGTGTATACATGTGTCAGAAGGGTGAGGGTGAGGGGCCACAAAAACTTGGGTGGGAGTGGAATATGGGTTCATGATGTGAGTGAGAAAAACCTTTCCACTGTTTGGTTAACAAGTCTAGAAAATGAGAACCATCCTTGGAATACAAGACTTTGTTAATTCAAGAATCTACTTTGTCTGATTCTTTATTTCTCACATTAAAGGTTATTTGAACATATGCTTATATAAATATTGGCCCATTAGACTTTGCCTGATTTGCTATTCTTTTCAATGAGAAAAATATTCTAAACCCTGAAAGTTTCCTTCTTGGATATAGTATAGGAAAAAATGTTGGTCTCAACTAAGTTTTTATCCAGCCCACCAGTCATTTCTTCCCTGTCCGCGAGGAAGAATACAAAGCCAGGTAGATTTCCAGTTTAATAAAGAAGCCAAATCACCTGTTAGAATTACAGTACGATAGCATACATTTTAGGTGTCTGTTTGCTATCTTCTCGCTGCTAGCATTAAGTCTTCAAGGTCACAGGTAATCATCCCAGGCCGGGTTGTGCATCTGCTTGAGTTCTTTGTCGCAAGCAACGGAGACCGACTCTCGTTAACTTAAACAGAAGGAGCTTCATTGCAAGGATGTTAGGGATTCATAGAATCGATAAGGAGGCCAATGAACTAGGCTTGGGATGGATAGGACACAAACGAACTCTGAAAGTCCAGGAATCAAGAACTATCTGAAGGTGTTTTTGTAATTGCTTGTCTGGGCAGGAAAATGGTGGCGCCAACCGTTCTCAGCCACCTGTCTCCCTGCTCAGAGGGAAATCATGGCAGGGAGGGAGCAGCCGATCGCCCCCCCACCCCGCCCCCGGGTTATGTTGCCACGCCTTGATAGGAAATCACGGTGAACTTATTAGGAGGAAGTTATGCTAAGCTGCCACAGGTGGCAGAAGGGATTGAATGACCGAAGAAGGCCAGTACTAATTTTCCTTTGATAAACAGTTAGAAAAATGTGCTCACTTGCATTGGCTGTGAGGTATGTCAGTTCCTGTCCCTCTGTGTACCCACCCTGACCCCATCCCCTTCCCAGAATGGCAGTCCTGTCCTCATGTTGATTTGTGCAGGTGTGAGAGACTAAATATGTATGTCAGAGGTGCTGGTGGTGAAGCAGTTATACTTTGTTCAATTTCAAGAAAATTTTTAAGTTCCTCTTCCCTGACTGTTGCAGTGTTTACCATCTCGCCCTGCAGCACAGCTTACTAGTCAACCTGCTCCATCCCTGACTGCCCAGTTATTGAGGGTTTTGTATTTTAAGTATGTTCATGAGTAGTCATACTTTTGCCTTTTAGACTCTCTATAGATAAATTCATACCCTAGTCTGATTTTAGTTGGTTGTTGGAGTTGATTTATGTATGTAGCGCACACTTACTAAATAAGTATTGCTTAATGCTTAAAGCTATAACTTTAAAGGAATGTTAAGTTACCCTGTTAAACGTCGTTATTGGAGAAATGGCAATAGAACCCTACACTTTCTTCTGATATTCTCCATTTTTAAAAGAGTGAAATCTTTGAAAGGAATTGAATTTAAATATCCTAGGATGTAGAGAACGTGCATAGCTTTTCACTTATTTATGAACATTTAACAGCATGTATAGCATACCTCCTGGGTGTAAGGAAAAAAAATGATTAAATTCAATTTTTATCAAATTTATTTTTAAACGACAGTTTAATGACACCTGGGTGTAAGAAAAAAAATAATGATTAAATTGTTTTTACCAAATTTATTTTTAAACGATGATTTAATGACACTCATATGTTTTAGCCCCTGTAATACTCTAACTTTCTATAGATCCTATCATCAACTTCCAAACTGTTAGTCTGACGCTAAACAAATATTCGGAACATTTCGACTGTTATTCGTAGGTGATGTGAAAGGTTGACCCAATATGTTTCCCTTGCAGCATCCAGTGCTCGATGAGCCGATAGCCGAAGCTGTCTGTATTATCGCAGACACGGATAAGTGGAGTGTCCAGGTGGCCACAAGTCAGAGGAAGGTGATGGACAACATGAAACTAGGCCAGGAGGTCTTGGTCTCTAGTCAGGTGTCCAGTTTACTACAGTCTATTTTACAGCTTTACAAGCTTCACCTCCCTGCTGATTTTGTAAGTATTTGTCTTCATATTACCAAAGAAATATAGTTTAAAAAACACTTTTAACTTATAAAATTACAAGTTCACATGTATTGTTTTTAAGATAATTGGGCATTAGCATAAGTAAAAATAGAATATTCAATATAAAATCAGCAGACAGGATAGATTTCACTAATAACCCTCCCATGACACAACAGAGAGTGACACAGATCTTTTTGAGTAAGGTATATGGTAAAGAAAGTAAGGTATGGGAGTAGGGATAAAAGCATAAAAGGAAATTTAAAATCCTTCTTTGGAGAACTTGTTAGTTCTTCTTTTATTAGATCACTATCAAGCAAACCAGTTTGTAAAGGGATCGTAGTTCCTTAATTGCCCAGGGACCATCTTCACAAAGTTGTTAGAGATAAAATAGAATATTGATGTGTGTAAACCATTGAAATTTTGAAGAGCCATACCCATAGAAAATGGTATCACTTACTCTTTTTTAAATGATATTTTAAAATCACTTTCGTGACATTGTATTAAATACAAACAATAAAGAGAGCCGATAAACTCCTAGAAAATTATCAACTGCTCTCGCTCAGTCACTGGAATTAATATACAAAACACGTTCTTTCAGTGTCTGTGTGCGCGCGTGTGTGTGCGTGTGCACGTGTAAGGGCATCTACTAGGAAAAGGGCAGCTGAGGTGACCTTGGGGACATGTGCTTACATGAAAGAGCTCCCACCTTCTCTGCTCCTTTTTCCCCTCTGTACACTGCTTGTCTCTGCAGTCTAACCCCAGACCAAAACATCCATCATATCCCTTTTGGCCTCCATGAAAGATACAGAGCTATTGAACAACAAAGTAGGAAGCTGAATATTAATTACCTACACTAATTGCTAATGTAGTGCTAATTTTCCTGAGTTGTTATGACTGAGTCTATAATGGCACCCCATTCCTCAGAAATAGTCAAGACTTCAGTGGCCTTGAAGAAAGCGCTTTGAAATACTGTCTTGTTGTCTGATCATGGTCTCAGTGCTGGCAGTGTGGGGGGACAGGGAGGCTGACGGACGTAACCGAGGTGAAGTCTAGGCGTTGCCACAGGTAGGCTGTGCGATGGTGGACAGTTATAAGCACCTCTCAGCTTCAGCTTTCTTGTTTGTAGAATGAAGATAATACGTATTCAACAAGCACGTCGTGGGAATCCTCTGAAAGTTAGGGCTATGATGCTGGTTTTTTAAACTGTCAAAGCACAATTTAAACAGCCAGGATACAGCACTGGCTAGTGCCCAGGCTTTGGAGTCCAGTAGCCTGGAGTCAAATCCAAGCTCTGCTACTTCCCACCTGTGTGACTTCTCAAAGTCTCAGCTGCCTTATCTGTAAAGCTGGAGAGATGATGGCATCTGTCTCCTATGGTTCCAAAAATAAAATCAGATAATCCACGTAAAGCACTAAGAATGGTGTTAGATGTTAGAAGCACTCAGGAACAGCTACTACTATGATCGTTAATCATTAGTTTTCATAAGACAATATTAATGGTTGTAAAGACTGACAACACCTTTTTACCAAAATCTTTATTTGCATCTATCCCCAGGGTAATATGAGAAGCACTTAAAGTTATAACAACCTAACTTTTATTCTACATTTGTAGGCAGTTTTTCTTTCTAGTAGCAAGCTCCATCATTCTGACTTCGAGGCCGAAATCTCTTTTTCTGTAAGGGAAGGAAGATATATTAGATTTTATAGATTTTTTTTACTGTTATAAATATTTACCAAATTTCTATATTTTGTTCTCTAATACATAGCTCTTGTTACTTTTGACATCTTAGTTTTCCAAGCAATAAACTACTGTAGCTGACTCTTTTTACTTCATTTGGACAGACGTATGTTTAACCACTTAGTAATATGAATGACTTATTTAATCTGACAAAAACCAAGATTAAAGGAAATTTCATCTGCAGTTTAAAGTTTTCCTTAAAATTCACTTGAATGAAGCACATAATTAAGTGCCTATTAGAGCCTTCAGTATGAAAGGAGAAAAGCTATTTAAAATTTCAGAAGTTAAAAATTGAAGAAATCCATCTCAGGAAAAAAAAAATCCCACAAAGGGAAAGGAGGAACCCAAACAGTTCTATCTGATAATCGAGCCTTTTAAAATTTTTTTCTAGATGCTTTAATTTCAAGAATAGTACACATTTCATGTAGACCAGTTTTCTCTTTATTTTGACATTGCAACATGCAATTTTCATGGAGACTATGAAAACACTGAAAATTAACTATTTTAAAACATAAAGGATTCGATGTAATATGAAGGTCCTTTTAATATTTGCTAACATTCTGATTAAGAAGTTTGTATTTACTCCACAAGGAACAACTGCAACTTAACAAGAGATGCTTTCACCACTAAGCTCGTGTTTATTTGGGGGGCACATTTTCATGCGAATTGGTGACATCCTCATTGCTTTGATTATTCCTCTCACTGACCAGTTGTGGTTCATCTACCCAACAAGATGCATTTAAGATTTTAAGCCAAGAAAACACTGAAAAGATTGCATCTCTAATGGACACTTTTTCCATGTCACTGATCAGCCCAGATGGTCAAGATCACCATTTTCAAATGCATCTGTTAATCTTTTTACCTTGAAAATAACAGACGTAATGGTCTAGAAGAAAATTATGTGTGATGGAATTGTCCCTGCCAGAGCCATCAAGTGTCTTACTGAAGGTGCTCAGATAGCTCTGCCTGCCAAATGCAAAAGCATTTGCCTCCAGTGAAAGACACAGATGGTTGCTATTCTCTAAAAAATGAAGTTGGACAGATTTCCAGGAGTAGAGATGTTCTGAAAATGATCGCCCTTTCTTTATTATTATTAAAGACCTAGTTAAAATACACTCTTGAGAGCAAAAAATAAAAAATAAAAAAAATAACAACAACAACAACAATAATAATGATGATGAGAATTTCAAAATAACCTTGTTCCCAACATTCTACTTCTCAGAATGTACTGTGCCAAAATAATCTGAGACATGGGGAAAAAGCAACAACAAAGATGTTCTTTACAAAATGTTTTATAATAACAAAAAATGCGAATTGCTATGCGGTTAGGTAAGTGATGGTAAATTCACATTCTCAAAAATTATTTAGCCATAAAATTAATTGATAAAGAATTTTTAATTATGTGGGGAAAGGATTTTTAGAAAGTTTTTTAAAAGCAGGAAATAATTGCACTTATTATAAAACAATTTCAACTATGTAAAAAAAAACATCTTTTTAGAAAAGAATAGGAGATATATATAAAAATCTTAATAGTCAGTGGAAAAAATAAAATTGTTTTACAGAAACCTATTGTACCTAATAACGATAGGTTTTGAGATCGTTTGTAATTTTTTAAGTGTGTTTGAAAGAGATGCGATTATAGTTGTGTACTTCAAAATGAGTGAAGAGAATTCTGGCTCTTAGAATATTGGCGGAGGTTTGCGTCTTGGACCTCATCGTGAATGTTATTCACTTCGCAGTGCGTCATGCACCTGGAAGATCGACTGCAAGAGATGTACCTGAAAAGTAAGATGCTGTCTGAATACCTTCGTGGGCACACACGAGTCCACGTGAAAGAATTAGGTGTCGTACTGGGGTGAGTTCTGTGAAGTGCCACCATTTCTCGCTGTGATAGGGCTGTCCCCAGCTCTCTGCCCACTGACCCACTTAGCCTGTGCCACCTGCGGGCCCTGGTGCCCCATTAAGGTGTTTGAGGCCTATCAAGTGTGCGCGTCTGCTGCTCCCTGACGAACAGCATGCTCCTTCTATCTGATGACGGAGTTTCACACCCAGAAACAAATGCAGAACGTTAAGCTAGTGGCACTTTATGTTAATCTTCTCCCCAGATTATTTTAATCCCATTCTGTTTGCCCATTTCTAGTCATTTCAGCAAGGTGTCAAAGTCACAAGCTGTCAGACGTGCAGCAGCAACTCGTGCTTACATTTGCTTCTTGGAGGAGGCAGGACAGGTCGTTCTGGACTTTCAGAAGCCTGCCTGCATGTCCAGGCTGGGGGGTGACTGTACTTTCCTTCCTATGATGATAAGCCCACTAGAGGAGCAGATGTGCTAATATTACTGATAATGTATATCGTCTTCCTGAGGGTCTTTGCCATAACTTCTCTAGGAGAAGAAATTCTGACTTTGGTTTTACTCTCCGCTTAATTTTTCAAAGATATTGAGTATATGGGGAATTGTCCCTCTTATCTATGATGATAAGTCCACTAATTTGGGCAAGAAAATATTGTGTAGTATTGACCTTGTAATTCTCAATTAAGCCTGCTAATCAAAGTATTATTGCAGGACTCAGGCCTTTGCTTTCTTGTCAGACTTTTCATCTTTCATACCCAAGATATGACTTACTGTATTGTTTGGCTCTTAGCATTTCCTGTCATTCATTTTCCTTATATACTTCATTTAAAAAATATTTTCCCCTTTTGAAGCATTTGCTTTTGCAGTTAGCGTACAGAGTATCTCTTTGTCGTTTTTTGTTAGTTTTGGTTTCGATCTCTTTACCAGCCTCAGACTTTAGTTTTGCTGCATTGGGTTTCCCATTGCCAGACGGATGCCTTGTATTTCTAGGACTTTACCTGATCCCTGACTCTGACAGGTGTCCATCATCAACACTATTAGAGGGATCACAAGATTTATGTACCCTCCCATTATTATAAAAGTGGGAATCATATTCAGCCTCTCTCACTCTCTTCCCCCTATAGTGGGGCTGGCAGCAGTAAAGGCACTAGAGAGCCTCTCATCCACCCCGAAATTAGATCTGCAGGGAGCATTACTGGAAACATAGAAAAAAGCTTCATGAAGTAATGCCAACTACTTTATAAATTTTTATTTTTAATTTTTTGTTTTTGGTATTCAAGGGAAAGATCAGGACATATTTTACAGACCGAAACAGTCCTCATTTTTTCAGGACATTTGGCAGCATTTAGCCTGTGACCATACTGTATCAGCCTCTAATTTAGGAGAGGCAGCCAAGCCGCATCCTTTTGATGCCACCATGTCTCTTGATTCAGCATCTGTTAGTGCCACCTTGCTCTCAGAATGTCGTGGCTCAACTGCTTAGTGAGGATCTAAGGTGTGTAACCTGTTGAACAAACCCCCAAGGTTTTTGAAGAAAATACCCCCTCCATCATTTTCCTAAGACTCATTTGAACCTTGGTGCAAAATCAGTGTGCATTCAAGATGCAGACTGGAGGAAAGAGGAGACGGTGGAGAAAACGTTATGGTGTAACTAATGCAGGGGACACAATCACTTTTGGGCCTAAGATCCAGTGACCCTTACTGTGAGGGGGACAGCCTCGTGTCCACAAATATGTACAGCACACCTCCTACATCTCCTTTTGCCCCCCAGGCAATGTCCACTGAAAGATCATATTAAAAGAGCACATTTATCATCTTTCCATTTTTTTTTTATTTCACTTTTTCATTAGGTTTAAGCAATGATCTAGCGAGCTTGGTACCTAGCAGTACTACTTAAATGTAAAATCATGCTACTTTAAAATAATAATCTTTTCTTTTTTCAATATTCAGGATTGAATCGAATGACCTGCCTCTGTTGACTGCTATCGCCAGTACTCATTCTCCTTACGTCGCTCAAATACTCTTATAAGCTAAAGCTCAGGACAGTTCTTCCTTGGAAGAAGAAGAAGAAAAAAAAAAAACAAAAACAGATTCTCAACTGAAGAGGAAGGAAAGACCTCTCTGTGATGTCAAAAACAGAAGAAGAGCAAACAGAAACAGTCATTCCACCACTTTGTTCTGTTTTGTTTTATTGCTTTCAAGTGGATGCTTCATTGGAACTTAGGTTTACTTGACATGACAGCGTTTGTGTTTTTCATGAACACTGTAGGCCTCTTGTTACCCGTGAATCAGCAGAGAGAGTGACCGTTTTGGTAGGAGGAAGCATAAGCACTACAGTAAACACTAAGCTGTTGGTACAGATTGCCTTGTGTGTTTGGGCTCAATAATGACAAGTGACTTTGGAGCAGGGGGTAAACAATATATGTACCATTCCAGCAGGAAAATGTTTCAGAGCTTAAGCATGGGCGCTCCACACTGGAGAAAGCAGAAAGCACATTTTGCTATTCTAAGAAGTCATAAAAAGGGCTGCAGATTCCAGGTCAGAGTTTGCTTTTTACAAAAGGCGAAATAAAGCCACGTTGTGCCATCTTCAGCTCTGGCGGCTATAGAAGTTAACTAACATTAAACATGAAAGAGGATTGACCCTTGGGAAGAGAGTGCTTTAGGGACCCACTGTTTTCACGTCTTCTTGGAGTTTACCTTGTCTCAGATGCAGCGACAGGTAGGTTAGAGATGGATTGTTGGTGCAATAAACCCAAAAATCAATGTAGCATCTTAATCCCGTCAAGATGGAGTTCGCAGCAGCAAAGTACCATATGTGTAACCTTATATACTTAAGAGCTTTCTGCAGCCTCTTTAAGAGAGGCCATTTACCAAAGTTGTTTCTATAAGCTCAAGAGTGTTTCTGTTGCTAAATTCTTCCAGCCAAAGCCACTTTCTTCCTATAATAGTTGATACAAATGACTGTTTATACTTTAAAAGGCACAGCTGTCCTGGTGGGAAATGAAACCTGCAACAGTTCGGGATGACTGAGGAAAGTAACTAGTTTGAACGTTTATAAACAAATCATATATGGTCTGAATTTTTACCTTATCATTTCTGTGCTTTCTAATCTCTACTTTTCAAAGCACCTTTCCAGAAATTAACTCACCCATAGTATAAAACCTGCCAAAATGAGGAATTGTTTATTTATTAGTATAGTTCACTTAAAAAAAAAAAAAGAAAACCTCAATTTTCTGTTAATATAAAATAAGAAACTTTACTTAGTTTACTGACCATGAACTATGACCATGTCAGGCAGTATATTGACATCCAGGATAAAGGAACAGACTTTAAAAATTGATCATTAAAAGACAGGAGCTAATCTAATAAAGCAAAACATTGTTAGCACCTTGAAGATCTTGAGTACAGCTAATTATAACCATGCTCCAATTTCCTTTCACTCTTTTATGAATTAATTCCAACCCTTTCCATGTATCCTTTGTACCTAAGAATATGAGGTAACTTCCCTATTAGGGGTTAGAATGAATTCAGATTTTCTACTTGATAAAATTATATCCTAAACACCAAGTTACATAAGTGTGTCTCTTCCTTTACAAATGCAAGTTAGTTATTTGTCTAAGAGTAAAGCAGCACCAATGGAGAAAAATAGGTGTATTATTTCTTAGGAATAATTCCTAGGAATAGGTCAGAATTGCTGCCTTTCCGCCTCTTTCTTTTTTTATGATGTGAAATGTAGACGGGTGCATTAAAGCTCCTAAGATCTTTAGTTTTTATTTTATACCTTCCATAAAATTGAACTTTTCCATTTTTTAAAGATTTTTTTCTATTTCCTTTTGCCTAACATCTGGGTGTAGTGTTTTAAATTCTCTAGTTTCATGACATCATTGCTCGTTGTTGTGTTACATGGAGGGAATGAACCTTACCTGTGGCTCAGCTCAGTCATCATTTACTTTTCATTACATGTAAATAAATTGAAATAGCTGATGTTATATCATTTCCATCTGCACCAGTTTAAAGCATTCCTCATCTCTAGTTCCCTCTTCCTTGTTTACACATTTGGGGCACTTTCCCTCATTCACCACCTTCCAGGGTTTCATAGAAAATAGCTACATACATCGTCAGTTCCATTTTAATGTGGACATAGTGGCATGTTGAAAATTAGACCCATATAGGGGGAAATCAAGTTTAAAAGGCTGCTTCTAAACTTTGTACATAAAAGAGTTAGTCCAATGCCCTCAAAGCCTGAGAAAATTTAATTTGCCTCTTAATCTACTATTCCAAAACTCTCTCTTGGAAAATGTCTGTTGGAAAGCGACAGGTGGGTCACCTGTGGGGATTGTCTCAGTGATGCTCAGGATCCCAGTGAGAATCTAACCCTCACATCTGTCGCCTGCTGAAGACAGACCACGAATGTTGCTGCTCTTTTGTAATCCTCCTTTAAATAACATTCAAGTTTTGTTTGTCTTAAATCCGAACTCTTCCCAAAAGTGGAAAAGAACGAAATCTCATGGAATAGTGTTGAGATACACTCTCTCACACACCGTGCACCACCCAGTGACTTCATTCTGTCTTAGCTGAAGAGGCATGAAAGGAATCCCGCCCTCTTCCATGCCCACCTCAAGAAAAATATAAAATTTTTTTAAAAAATTGAGAAAACTACCTCAGTTGACAGGATTCCACCTTTAGGGTTTCTTCAACTTTTAAGTCTTACCTGTTGAGTGTACCTTTTGTAGCATCTTGCTTTTTCAAGCAAGCTAGTGAGGCATGACGGAGCAGAATTGTGTAAATGTAACTGTGATGGACCTCTTTCTAGCATGTTGCAGTTTTATTTTTAATAGATCGATGAGTGATATGAATGTAAAGATAATTGTGTACGTTTAAACATGACAATGAAAATTTAATATGTAGCTTCCATTCTTGTGCATAATTCCAAAGTATTTTATTTTTATCAGTGTTAAATAGCTTTTTGTACAGGCTTCAATCCATTTTTCTGAAGTGTGCTGTTTTTTAATGAAAGTAACTATAATCTTTTCACATCCCATGGAACTGCCGTTTACACATCGCAACTTTTTAAACTTACCGTATTTTTCAAAATTAACTTTTTTGGAGGGAGAAGAATCCCTGCTTGCTAAATTATACTAAACTGTTGTTTAGGCTCTTATAATTAGATCCTGAGATTTTATAAAAATTTAGTCTGTAGCTTTTTAGGTTCTTCACTTGAGTTGATTGTACATAAAAATAAAGAATATAAAATGACCCCAAAATTCTTTTAAATGTCTGGATTTTTCCACCCATATGTCCTTTTGAAAGTATTTTGTTCATGCATACTTTCACCATTTAAAAAAAAAAAGAATCTTTAGCTTCTCTTGGTAAATGTGAACCATTTTTTTTTTTTTCTGCTTGGGGGAAGGAATATTATAATATTTGCCTAAATCAAGCAGCCCCCTCTGAATGTTTATTTTTAAATGTCAAAATTTGGTGAACCATATATCTTGGCCGCAAGATTGCAGTGTGCTTAAATTTAAGTTGTGTAAAAAAGGAGAAAATCTGGGATTTGTTATAATCGAAGCTCCATTAAGACAAGTTGATAGGACTTTATTTTTTTGATCAGTTAGATATCAATGTCAATATATGGAAAATTTTTCTTAAAACTTGTTCATGTATTATTTTGATCCTTTTTTCCGTGGCATTTGGTGCAATAAACCTTTTGAATTTATCCTGAACACTTGTTTGTTACATTGAATCTTAGCACTTAAGAACTTAGAGGTCTTATTTCCATTAATTCATGCTGCTGAAACAAGTTCATTATACATATCAGCGATTTTCAACAGGGGTGTTTTGGAAATGTAGGGACACTTTTGGTTAGCACAATGATGGGGGGAGGGGGACCAGCACATAGTGGGCGGGGTCTGTGGATGCCAGAAGAAATGTCTTGTAATATGTAGGACAGCCTATGGAATGAGGAATTGCCCCACCTTCTGCATGACTTTGAAATATCCGGGACATTCACGTGGGTATAAAAAAAAAAAAATCTATAAAAAAATTTATAATTAAGCTGAGAATTTAATTGTGCTTTACATAAAATCACAATGTATTTTTCACATGAT